AAATTTTCCTTTTCTGCTTTTTTTTTAACCTTAATAATTATTATAATAATAGTAATAATAGAAACAATTGAATAATAATAATATAACAGCTAACATAATAATAATATCATCCAACTAAATTTTATTTAATATCTAAAAATTTTTGGTAATAGAATTCTAATAATAATCTTCTTAATAGATTTAATTTAGGTTCACTGCTGTAGTTTTTCTTTTTTACTTTAGCGATTAAACTTAATAAACATATTTATAATAATAATAATGATGTAATTCCATAATTTCAGAAGTTCCTTATTCATTATTCGAGTAATAATCCTCAAAATTCAAGATAAAGTTCCACAAGACCTTTAAAGAGCTTAACAAATAGTCTAAGCATTTTAATAAAGGAAAATTCATAAATAGTGATTATTAGTAAAACATTTGAAATAACCATAAAAAAATTATTGATAAAATAATTGAAATCACAAAATTGTATTGATTTGATTTAATAAAAAGAAATGATCAAGAGTCAAATCTCCTTAAGATAAGCAGTCTAAATATGGCAGACATGTTATAAAATTTATTTTCAATTTTTCATTTACTTCTAGACTTTGAACCAGAGGAATGAGCCTTAAGATTAAATCATATAATGTTTTATTGGATTAATCATGCAACCCTATGGGAAAGTTAAACAGAAATAAATTAATGGAAAATATATATACTAGACCTCTTGGTTCAATTTAATTCGATGATTCCTAATTATTATCATCTCTACTAGCAAGACTACAAATTTCAATCCCTTATTTTTTATTTCTATTTATATAATTATCCATAACATTAAATATAAACCCCTTCATCATTTCGATTAAGATATTAAATAACTTCAAACGATGTTAACAATTTTCTATTCAATATACTTTTAAACTTCAGCCATATTTTAACAGTAAATTTTTTCTCCAAACTTTGCCTTTTAAATATTAATTTCTTTTTTCTTTGAAAATTTTTGTATTTACTATTTTCACTTTTTAATAGTTGTTTTTATTAATCATAAATTTCCCATTTTTATCCAATTGGCAAATATAGAATAACAATATAGTTGTTTTCAATAAGTCTACTTATAGTTATTTCAAAAATGCAAATTAATTATTTAAGGATTTCAATTTCATTTTCAATTTATTCATAGGATTAAAGTAGAATTAATTATTTAACTTGTGCTTAAGGAGCTTTTGAAGAATTTCCAAATAATTTTGTTGATGATTGACTCTATGTTCTTGGTATCAAACACTTTTTATTTTGAAAGAATCATTTTTTGTTTGATTAACCTTTTTTGGTTTTGTTTTTTATTAAATAGTCTAGGTATTTTGGATCTTATTATTATTATTAAAGTTTATTTTATTAGATTTATCTTTTATCTTTTAATGAATATTTAAGTATTTCTAACCTAAAATAATATCAATTAATTATACAAAATTTTCAACAGCTTCAGATTCTTATGCTGAAATATTAAGTAGAATTAACATTATAGAGATTTTTCTTGCATCCATTAATTTATGAAATAATATTCTTAGATGCAGAATATATAATATTTTTGGATTTTGATTCAGAATAAATATATATTAGTAATTTTAGAATAATTAGTGAAATAAATAACCTATTATATTTTCATTATCAGAAAAATTAATATGATTGCAAAATTTTGTTTATTTAATCAATATATTTAGTTTATTTATGATTATTTTAAATAGATTCTATCAGTAATTTTAATAGCAACTAAATCACTTAAATTAATTCAATATATTTTAATAATTATTAAAGAATTTATTTAAATTATAAAAATGGATGATAATAATAGCATCTCTTCAATGAATAGTTCAATATAAACTACTAGTATAGATATCACTATTTCAAGTTAAGTAGAATATAATATTGATAGGTAGTATTGAAATAAAGAAATAAGAAAATAAGGAATAATACATCTAAGCATTAGATAGAATATTTTTATTACTTTAGAAACATAAGTTTACCAAAACTAAATTCTTGCTGGCAAAACCTGAAATTAAAATAAAGGGAGGTAGAAGTATTTGGCTAAATTACTCAAATATATGCAATTAAATTAAAATGAACTCTGTGTTTGTAAATTAATATTTCAAAGCTTAATTATATTCTTAATTGTATTCAAAAAATAATAATTTAGGTTAATACAAAAAGAAAAAATGATTATCATTGGATATAGAATTAAAACTAAAGTAATTGAGTCTTACCTTATTGAATTTTTAAGTATTTATATATCTCTAAAAGTAGAAGAATATTTGATTTGTTAATAATGTAAAATTGCAGAGACAAAATTAGTGAAAGATCGAAAAACCAAATTAATAAGTAAGGAATGTAGAATTTGCAAAGCTACTTGTACTGTAAATGGATCAAAATTTAAATATTTTAAGTTTCCTTGATTTTTTTATTCATAAATTATGTATCAAATAATTTATCTATATATAATAATCTTTATTTATTATTCAGTTGAAATGACATATGATATAAGGATAAATAAACTACTTAAAAAAGGAACTTAAAAAACAACTATATATTTTTCATAATAAAATGTATAGATGGAATTAAGTTGTCATGGAAGAAGGAGGGCTGCTTTAAAATATTTAGCGTGAAATCAAGCTTGAGCTTTGTTTGTACATAGATTTAATGGAAATTCCAGATTGATTTAAGCTATCGTAAATATTTCTGGAATTAGAGGGTTGCTAAAATTTCAACAAATAAAATCTCCACTACTTAACTCCTAAAGCAACCCATCTCCACAATTTATTAATTATTAGCATTGATTTAAAATTAGCAATTAGTATTGATAATTGCACTCTAAACAAATACCTTGATAGCAATCATAGCAATTTTCCGAACAAAAACAACCACCACAAGGATGTAAATTATCAACATCACAATCCTCTTCTTTTGATATTCATAAATTATTCAAGAATGATTTTATCTCCACAATAAGGGAAACATATTTTTTCTAACATTAAATATCCCAAATCACACTCTAAACAAATCGAAAAGTAGTTAGTTTTACAATCGATATAAATCGGCAATCCAAACAATCATCCCATACCCCATTAACTTTGTCGATTATTCGATATTCACTTTTAATATTAATTTTTTAATTTTTATTAACTATTTAATTTTAACTCTTAGATTTCACCTTGATTAGTAGATTATTCTTTAGAATTCTATTTTAAAGTATCTTCATTTGAAAGATGTTATCCAAACACAAGGGACCAAATGAAGCAATTTTGATTGAGTCAAATTCAAATTGATTTAATCCATTAGAGTATCTTCAGAATCTTTGGTATCAAATGTCTTCTTCTTTGTTATTGTCCATTTGTAATCTACTTTTTTACCAATACCAATTCAGATAAAAGTACTACCTATTTCCAAAGCAGCTTTTAATTACTTCATTTAATTAATATTAATTATAATCGCTACTAAATTTTAGAGAAGCGGCCAAGAAGATTCCGTGAATGTTTAAATTTTTGCTATGGAAGTGATTCATAGCTAATAACAATGGAATTAAATAAAGACGCTTAAAAATACTATATGTATCTTAAAACAAAAACATTTTCAATACAAGAAAATATATAGATATTAAAATATTATAAATAGTTTTAGAAAGATTTTGAAATATCTATCTATTTGGTGTTTCCTTAATTATGTTGATTGATTCATCATGATCGCCAATCTATGGATTGAGTGTGATATTCTATGTCTTTATGGAATTCATATTCTAGATAGATTCATTAGAAATGATTATATGATCAAAGGAGATTTGTTCCAGCTGACATTATTATTATTAGACACAAGTCAAGTTTTATTAAAGAAGCTATTTGTATAGTAGCTACATAATACTATGATGGCAAATCTACATTAACTAAGAAAAAAGTCTCCATATTTAACTTAATTGATCATTTTAAGAACTAGAATAAAGAATCAATTTCCAGAATACAGAAAGATGTTAGCTGATACAAAAATATGCAAAGTAGTCATTATAATGCTTAAAAAAATAGTTTTGAGGAAAAATAATGTAACTTCTATTCATTTCTTATGGATTTTTTACATTGATTTCCATAATTGTACTTTTAGACAAACATAATTTTGCATTTTTTATATTGAAATTTTATTAGATTTTGTAAATTTTATCTGTTTGCTTATATTTGAAATTAATTAATTAGAATATAATATTATTAAATATGTTAATATGAATACATCTAATAATCTTAGTGATTTAGGTCATGTAGATTATATTCTTATAAATAAGGTAGGTACTTTAAATACTTCTTATTATAAATTGAACAATCTTTTATTTTGTTAATTATTCACATTGAATTATGATCAATTTTAACAACTTTGTACTAAAAATCAGTTAAAAATTGAGAATCCAATAAAATTTGCAAGTATTAATGTTAATAATGAATATTTAATTCCATTTAAATTTGAGAAGAAAGTAATCTTGCAGATATATAACCAAGTTGTAAGTTACTTTTGAAAATTGTAAAGACATCAAATAATAATCCAATAAATAATGGCAGAACCATAG